CTCTGAAGGGGCGCTGTGGCAGGGGGTTGGAGGTTGACTTTTCTTTTAAATCAGTCTCTCTGCTCTCTTGGTGCTGGCTTCAGATGATGGGACAGGTCCTGAGAAGATAGCCCACATAATGGGGCCACCAGACAGGTGTGAGCATGCTGCCCGGATCATCAACGACCTCCTTCAGAGTCTCAGGGTAGGGCCTGGAGCATGCTGGGAGGCAGGAAAGTGCTGGGAGGAGACTAGCCCAGTCCACCCAGAGACACTCTAGAGTCAGCTGGCTCCTCATGTTCACTCTCCTCCTTCCTATCTAACAGAGTGGTCCCCCAGGCCCTCCAGGAGGTCCGGGCATGCCCCCAGGGGGCCGGGGCCGAGGAAGAGGCCAAGGCAACTGGGGTCCCCCTGGTGGGGAGATGACTTTCTCTATCCCCACTCACAAATGTGGGCTGGTCATTGGCCGAGGTGAGTGTGGCCCCTCTGTACCCTGTGCCCCCCAACCCACTAGGTGCCCTCCCCCCACTCTCTCTTCATAGTCTGTGGCTCACTGCAGGTGGCGAGAATGTGAAAGCCATAAACCAGCAGACAGGCGCCTTCGTAGAGATCTCTAGGCAGCTGCCACCCAATGGGGACCCCAACTTCAAATTGTTCATCATCCGGGGCTCACCCCAGCAGATTGACCACGCCAAGCAGCTTATTGAAGAGAAAATTGAGGTGGGCTCTAGGAGGGTATCAGGTGCTTGGGTTACACACCCTGTTTCCTTGTTGCTCACCGTGTTTGCTTTTCCTTCCCTCCAGGGTCCTCTTTGTCCAGTGGGACCAGGTCCTGGGGGACCAGGCCCTGCGGGCCCAATGGGGCCCTTCAATCCCGGGCCCTTCAACCAGGGGCCACCAGGGGCCCCTCCCCAGTGAGTATTTTTCTCAGCTCTCTGGGCCTTGGGGTATAGGGGTTTCCCTGCTAGCCACAGGGCTTATAGAGCACATTTCTAGTTACACTCCTAAGAGAAGCCCAGCTCTTCTTCCAAAGCCCTACTTTTGGGGGCCTAGTCCAGCCTATTTTTATAGATATTATTGAAATAGGTGATTGTTCTTGGTCATGGTGTTAGTTTTCCCTGTAAGTCACAGACAGCATTCTGTGCATAGTGAATTTGGGGATTCTCATCTTAACATCCTTGAGAAGCAACACCATTTCCGTCTTTTGCTTTGCTGTGATGTGTATGGCATGTCTTCTCTGGGCACGCTGTTGGGCTGAGTGGTCTGGGCTTGTAGCCTGCACCCATCCCTACCCCTTGGCTGGGCAGCTATGGCCACTTGAGCACCTCTGCTCACATGTTCCCTTTCTCCTCTGATTCTGTAGTGCCGGGGGGCCCCCTCCTCACCAGTACCCACCCCAGGGATGGGGCAACACCTACCCCCAGTGGCAACCGCCTGCGCCTCATGACCCAAGTAAGTGGTAGGGGCCCTCAGGTAAGAGTGGGGCTTGGTTCCTGCTCCCACCCCCTTAGCCTGGACTCATGTTCCTCCTGCAGGCAAAGCAGCTGCTGCAGCCGCAGACCCCAATGCTGCTTGGGCCGCCTACTACTCACACTACTACCAGCAGCCCCCAGGCCCCGTGCCGGGCCCAGCGCCAGCCCCCGCAGCCCCACCTGCTCAGGGTGAGCCCCCTCAGCCCCCGCCCACCGGCCAGTCAGACTACACTAAGGCCTGGGAAGAGTACTACAAAAAGATCGGTGAGTTTGCATTGTGGCTGGAGGGGGGTTCAGTTCTGCCTGAGAGGGGTGCTTTCTGAGCTTTCTGGGTGCCCCAATAGGCCAGCAGCCCCAGCAGCCTGGAGCGCCCCCACAGCAGGACTACACAAAGGCCTGGGAGGAGTACTACAAGAAACAGGGTGAGCAGCTACTCATGCTAGGGGGCTGGGGGACAAGCAGCACTCACCCACAACCCCTTACATGCCCCCGTCTACCCATAGCACAAGTGGCCACCAGTGGGGGTCCTGGAGCACCCCCAGGCTCCCAGCCAGACTACAGTGCTGCCTGGGCTGAGTATTACAGACAGCAGGCCGCTTACTACGGACAGACGCCAGGTCCCGGCGGCCCCCAGCCACCTCCCACACAGCAGGGACAGCAGCAGGCAAGTGGGAATTGCCACCCTCCTCCTCCTCCTTTTTCCTTCCAACCCCCGGCCACAGTCCATCCTGCCTTAGTGGGTAGTGCCGGAAATCCCTTCCCCTGCGGGGTGTGCCCTTGATGCCTGCAGCGGGGGCCATGTGGCCAGAGGTCTCCAGGAGCCCCCACGCACCGCCAGGGAGCGTACGCTGGGTCCAGAGGTTAAATGAAGAAGCCTCCCTCCGCCAGCTGCTTGTTCCTGTGTACCACTGTCATGATGCTGGGGGAGAGCGCGAGACACAGGCGGAACTTTGGAACTGCTGGGTAGTCCTGGGGTGGGGGCAGGCAGACAGCTCAGACGGGGGTCCATCCCGGCTGCCGGTTCACCTGCAATCTGGCCACTTGGGAAGAAAACGTCTTATTTTTTTCCCTTCTCTGCATCACTTCTTTGGTTTTTGTTCTTTTTATTCTTTCTTTTGTTTAAACCCACCATCTTTTTTCTCAAAAAGAAGTGTCCAAGTGACTGTTGCAGGCGGCCAGGCTCTAGCAGGGACAAGGGGCTGGCCCAGGGGGCCCTGCCCTGCTGGGCTCGGCCTCTACTCGCGCTCGCCTCGTGTCCCGGTCTTGTCTGTGAAGTGGGCATGAAGATCGTTGCCACCTTCCAACCTACCTCACAGGGGTGTTGTGGGGACACCATGATCTCTGAAATTGTTCATGTTGTGATGCGCCGGGAGCCGCCCGCCTTCCTGAAGACAGAGGGCACCCCCTTCCCTCCAACCCTGAGCGTGCTTCTCTATCTCCCCTCTCTGCCTCTATCCCTCTGCATCCCTGCTTCTCTCCTTTGCTGTTCTGTCCTTCCTCCTCCATCAAGGAGCAGAGTGCAACTGCAGCCAAGTCCCCTGAGCACTTGATTAGACAGTTAACAAGCAGCATCCTTCCAGCTTGAGCCAGCTGAAGTTTGGGAGGGGCTTCTGGCCCCTGTGCTCGTGGGTGTTCCAGCCCCTCCTTTTCCACCACCCCCTAGTTTCCTACCCTCCCCTCCTGTAGTGACCAATTCCTATCTCTTCCCTCTCCGCAGGCTCAATGAATCGAATGAATGTGAACTTCTTCATCTGTGAAAAATCTTTATTTTTTTTTCCATTTTGTTCTGTTTGGGGGCTTTTTTTTTCTGGTTTTTGTTTGTTTGGCGAGAGAGCGATGGCTGCTATGGGGGGGTACCAGGGGAGCCCTCCAGCGAGCAGCTCGCAGGGAGTGGCAGGGGCGTGCCCGGCTCTCACTCTCTCGCTCATTCTGTGTGTGTCTCACATGCTTTTTCTTTCAAAATTGAGATCCTTCATGTTGAGCCAGCCATAGAAGATAGCGAGAACTAAATCTCTGCCAAAAAAAAAAATTTAAAGTTAAAAATACAAAGAGCAAAACAACTTATAAAATTATATATATATATATAAATAAAAATCTATACTCCCCACCCCCAGCCTTCTCAAAACTGCCTCTTTGAGGATAAAGCAATTCATTTTCTCTCTACCACCCTTGGCCCTCTTCTTGTTTTTAAAATAAACTTTTAAAAAGTAAAACAAAGTCACTCTTGCTATTTCTTTTTCTTAGTTAGAGTTGGAACATTCCTTGGACCAGGTGTTGGTATTTCAGGACCCCTCTTCCCCCAGCAGCCAAGCCCCTCTCTTTTTTTCCTCCTCCTCCTCTCACCCTGGCTCAGCTCCCTGCACCCTGCCCGTCCCCCCTCCCAGGACTGGTCTGATCTGTTGTCTTTTCATCTGTTCAAGAGGAGATTGAAATTGAAAACAAAATGAGAACAAAACAAAAAAAAATTGTATGGCAGTTTTTACTTTTTATCGCTCGTTTTTAACTTCACAAATAAATGATAACAAAATCTCCCCATGTCTGCTGGGTGCTGTCTGTCTCCCTGTCTCTTCCCCCACTCTCCTTATTTCCCTATAGTTTTGAAGCAAATGTTTGTTGTTTATAGATGTTGTTAAAGAAAAAATATTCTGATAATGGTGATTGGAGATTATGAGCTTTGTGTTTTGTTTTTTTTTTAAGAAAACAAATATAAGAGAAAATAGTTTTCTGCAGGTGCATTGTGCTTTCTTAATTCTTCCCCTCCCCACCCCCTTTTTGGTTTAAATAAAGTGCATTTTGTTTAAAGAAAAAAAAATGCATGCCGGCCACAATTGTGTTTGCTAGAACAAGGCTTAGCCAGTGAGAATGAGATGTAGTTCCCACCTCCATGTGGTGAGCAAGGCACCCAGAAGGGCCGCCAGGGATGGGGTTCCCATGGACACAGGCACCAGGCTGACACAGAGTATGGTGTGCCTCACAGGAGGCCGCCTGGGTCTGACCTGTTAGGTTCAGATCCCTGAGGTGGAAACGTGCCCTGTGCCAGTGCTTGGTGGCAGGAGGGGCCACCCGAGCTCTGTCCAGGGACAGATGTCCTGAAGCACACTGCACATACAGGTCAGAGTTCAGTACCATTTAAAAACTGGGCGCCTGTGGTTCAAAGGAGTAGGGCGCCAGCCCCACGTGCCAGAGATGGCGGGTTCAAACCCAGCCCTGGCCAAAAACTGCAAAAAAAAAAAAAAAAACCTAGGTCTCCATCCAAATCCCACAGGTTGACAGGAGCCAGTAACAACTGCCGCCTTTAGGTGGGGCTGTCTCAGCCCCTGGGTCCTCAGCCAGGTGTGTCAGGCACCCACCCAGGGGGGCATGTTTGTTGGTGGCCCCTGATCAACCCACCTAGTAAAGGAATGGACCCAGGAAGAGAAGCTGTTGCTGAGGCCATGGGGGTGCATTGTCCCACTCACCAGAAGTCTCACCTGCAGGCCTCATGCCCTTCCTGAGACCCTTACAGGTTATGGGGTAAGGGGCACAGCTGGGCCCCCAGCCCCTCTGGTCTCACTGCAGACTTTCAATGACAGAGCAGCACTTGGCAAAAATGTTCTCTGGTGCTGCTTCTGCCAGGATCTAGGGAAAGGGGGAACCCAGTTCAGGCTTGCGACCCAAGCAGAGCAGTCCTGTGTCACCTGTAGGAGGGAGGGATGTGCTGGGAAGTGCCTTCCAGCTCCCCCATCCCCTGCCCATGGGAGCCAAGGTTAGGTCCAAGGGCATCGCTGTCCTTCACTTGAGCCTCAGCTGAAGTAGGAGAAGGCGCATCTCAGGAGATTACCTTTAGACAGAGATTAGGACATCGCCAACGTCTTTTTATTTTCCTAACTGAAAGATACAGAAACTGAGTGGGTCCCCTTAATATTAAGGTATGGCTGTGTCCACCCTTGGGCATACAGGTGGATGGATTTGAGTGGCACTGGGGTTGACCATTCACCATGACCTTGTGTTCTTTGGCTAGGTTCTAAAAGACCTATAATTTGGCAATTGTGTTTAGACCTTAAATTTAATCACAGCCCCTTGGGCCACAGTGCCCAGAATGAACCCAGGGAAAGCGAAGGCCGCCCCATGACCCTATTCCCTAGGAGAGCAGTGAGCAGCAGGTGGGGAGCACCTACATTTCGCAGCAGGTTTTTCTGCTGGTAGAAGGTCAGGACAGGCTCACACAAGGTGTAGTGAGTCTCCAGGCGCCGCTGGATGGCAGACTCCGAGTCGTCCGCTCTGTGCTCTACCTTGCCCCTGCCCAGCAGTCGGCGTACCATTGTCTCCATGGAGCAGTCGAACACAATGACAGCGTTGGGGGCCCGGCCTACCTAGGAGCCGGCCATGAGGACTGGTGAGGTTGGGGCTGGACGCACTGGCCCCCACACCCCAGCTCTCTAGAGACGAGCAGTCTAGTGTCACACAGGCAGGTAAAAAATAGGCCTCCTGGCTATTTTATTTTATGACAGAGTCTCACTATGTCACCCCGGGTAGAGTGCTGGTTAGGGTTAGGGTTAGAGTCTCACTATGTCACCCTGGGTAGAGTGCTGGTTAGGGTTAGCTCACAGCAACCTCAAACTCTTGGGCTTAAGGAATTCCTTGCCTCAGCCTTCCAAGTAGCTGGCACAGTGCCCGCCACAACGCCTGGCTATTGTTTGCTTGTGGTTGTTATTGTTTGGCAGGCCTGGACTGGATTTGAACCTTCCAGCTTTGGTGTATGTGGCTGGCACCCAAGCCACTGAGCTACATACAGGTGCTGAGCCCGTATTTTATTTAGTTTGAGTTTCACATATTTATCTTCTGGAGAGGTATCATGGGATCTTCGCAGCCAAATCTCACACACACACACATACATACATACATACACAGGGAGTAAAGAGTCTCCTTACTGTCCCCAGTCACCCAGCTTCACCCTGCCCTGTAGGCACCCTGGTCATCTTCTCCTGTGTCTCCTGGAGCTCTGCTAGGCATCTGGGGTTCAAGCAAAGACAGTTCTGATATTCATTTCCACCCTTTTTATATGAATAGTAAAGACATTGAATTGCCTGCAACTTCATTCACTTAGCAGAGCGTGAGATGGTTCCACATTGGCAAGTAAGGCATTTGCTGATTCTTTTTTGCTTGAGACAGGGTCTCACTCTCTCTCTCACTCAGGCTGGAGTGCAGTGTCATCATAGTTCACTGCAGCCTCCAACTCCTGGGGTTAAGCCATATTCCAACCTCAGCCTCCAAAGTAGCTGGGACTCAACAGGTCTTTCTGTTTCTTGTAGAGATGGAGTCTTGTGGGGTGGCACCTGTGGCTTAAAGGAGTAGAGCGCCAGCCCCATATGCCAGAGGTGGCGGGTTCAAACCCAGCCCCAGCCAAAAAAAAGAGAGAGAGATGGAGTCTTGTTATGTTGCTCAGGCTGGTCTTGTCCAATTCTTTTTAACCACTATATAGCATTCTGTCATAGGGATATACCATAATTTATTTATTTATTTAGAGACAGAGTCTCATTTTATCACCCTCGGTAGAGCGCTGTGACATCACAGCTCACAGCAACCTCCAGCTCCTGGGCTTAGGCTATTCTCTTGCCTCAGCCTCCCCAGTAGCTGGGACTACAGGCGCCCGCTACAACAACAACAAAAAAAAAATAGCTGAGCATTGTGGCAGGTGGCTATTTTTTTGATGCAGTTTGGCCGGGGCTGGGTTCCAACATGCCACACCCTCAGTATATGATATGGGGCCAGTGCCCTACACACTGAGCCACAGGCGCCACCCATATACCGTATTTTATTTATTTATTTATTTATTTGAGACAGAGTCTCACTATCTCACCCTAGGTAGAATACTGTAGTGTCACAGCTCACAGTAAACCTCAAACTCTTTGGCTTAAGCAATTCTCTTGCCTCAGCCTCCTAAGTAGCTGGGACTACAGGCACCTGCCACAATGCTCAACTATTTTTGTTGTTGTTGTAGTTGTCGTTGTTTGGCAGGCCAGGGCTGAATTCCAACCTGTCAGCCCCAGTGTATGTGTCCAGCACCCTAACTACTGAGGTACACGTGCCAAGCCACTGTATTTTATTTAACTGCTTCCTCGTGGATGGATATTTAAGTTGAGGTATTTCTTTTGAGATGGAGTTAAGCGCTTCTGACTTGGCTTCCTACAGGCCAGACCCTTTGTTTTTTGTTTTTTGTTTTTTTGAGACAGAGCCTCAACCTGTCCCCCTGGGTAGAGTGCTGTGGCATCACAGCTCACAGCAACCTCCAACTCCTGGGCTCAAGCGAGTCTCCTGCCTCTGCCTCCC